GAGAAATTTCAGATCATACGCTAGCCCTCCATTAGTTATGATTAATACAAAAAAAAATAGAGATAAATAATAGAGAGAAGCTTCTTTCATCCAGATGAGAGAAGCTTCAAGAAACTTAAAACTTAAAGAAGTCCAGATGCTTTTCTTACACATCGTTGTACTAATTTGCTTTTAAGCTTACCAGAAAGATAAGTACTGGCAATAGAGCTGGGCGATATGGACCAAAATTCATATCTCGATATTTTTTAGCTGGATGGCGATATAAGATATATATCTCGATATTTTTTTAATCCCATAAAGTAAGAACAAAAAGAGAGTTCTTGGTCAAAGGTACTTGTCCCAGATGTCACACATGTAACTTTTATTAAGATACAACTGTAGATGTACACGAAAAAATTGTCAAAAATAAATTGTCAGCATTTATTAAATAATAATGCTCCATTTTTTTTCTTTTCATACATAACAAAAAGCTAAAAATTGTAAACTAAATGTAAAATGTAAACTAAAAAGATGCAGATCTAAAATAACAAAGGCATCTTGCTCTTTAAAAAGTGCTTACACTGAATTAAAGTTTTCTAAAGTGCTTCTTTGTGTGTATTGCTGAACAATCATCTGGTACTTTGTGCAAAAAACCAAACATGTAAACAGATTGAATGAAATTAACAAAATTACATTCTTTGGTCAGTGGGTCTTTGTGCAAATCTCCAATGACAATAACAATATAGAAAGAACACAAACAAGCAAGGCCAACAACTGTACAGCTTACAGATTTTGTGCCAGGAAAACTAATCTGTCAACATTATCAGGCTTCAACGATGCCCTGTGGCAGGTTACAATGTTTCCACTGCAACTAAAAATCCTTTCAGAAGGGGAGCTGGTAGCTGGCGCACAAAGATATTTCTTGGCCAGGAGGCTCAGTGCTGGAAAGGCAACTTCATGTTCCTTCCACCATTTGAGAGGGTCAGCATCACTCTCTACACAAACTGACAACAGGTAGCTAGAAAATTCATTTTCGATTGCTTCCCTTTTTGTGAAACCAGTGTTGGTGGCTGTGCTGTGCTGGAAGAAGCTTGCCAGTGATCTCTTTTTTTTAGCTGTGTGTCCTACTGCTGCTTCTTCTTGGTCTGCAGACTCAGGCACGGCTGGATCAGTCAGCTCAGACAAACACGTACCCTGATAGCTGAGCAGAGACTCTGCCTCCAAGATGAGTTTATGTTTTAGTGCATTAATCTTCTCACTAGGGATGTATTTCGCCCTGAACCGTGGATCCACAAAAGAAGCCATGTCCAACAGGTCACTGGTGGATGGATCTGCATATTTATTGTTGAGGTAATCCACAATGCGGGTCTTGATGGATTTACACAGCTCACTATCCTCCTCTCCAGGTGCCAGGAGACTAGTGTTAAACAGGTGTAGCACAGGTCTGACATAGGACAGGGTCACATACTTCTCTCCTGAAAGTGCATCAGTGAAGTCCTGACAGGGTTTGAGAGCTTTCTGAACTGCTTCCAGGACCTCTATGTCCTGCCAAGTAGGGACTAGAGGTCTGGTTTTCATGTCGACAGAGAGGACTTTAGAAAGTGCTCTTTCCTGCTCCAGAACTCTCTCTATCATGAGAAGCCTTGATCCCCAGCGAGTTGTTGCCTCTGTGAGTAGCTGGTGACTTGGAAGACCCAGCTGTATTTGCACTTCAGCCAGCTCTCTTCTCTTCCTCCAGCTGTAGGAGAAGCTGCTGACGACTTTCTTACACAGAGAAATAGCCCGGGTAATGCGGGCATCATCCATAGCATGTCCTGTGACACACAAAATACAAACTTTTAAAATCACTTTAATTGTTATGTTAAGATGCAAATCACTCAAAGGCAAATTAACATCCATCTCAGTTGTATAGAATGTGATGCATAAGACTTAACAATATTTGCAAAATGTGTCGTGTATTGTATAACCTAGAAATGGTTCTAGTTAAACTATCTTGGTAAAATCACCAGATCACCAAATGATTAGAACATGTTTTTTTTCGTTTTTTTTTACACCTTTTAATCTCACTATGTATTTAAAAATGTATCCCTGTCTTGTCTCAGCTGTGGTCCTCATTTAGTGTCACAACTCAATCTAATACAAAGACAAATACACCCCAATACGTTTATTGGATTTAATAGGGATAGTTTATTTATTTGTTCAACTAACTTTCGATTTCTAAGTGATAGATGTATATGCTGGCTATGACTTATAAAAATATTTGTCTTGTGGTCCATAGGCATGTTTAGCTCTACAAGAGACTCTATACACTTTTCATTTATTAGCGTTTTTTTTTCCAAATCAAAAAATTCAGTATTGCACTTACCAATGGCCAGATGAAGCCTGTGACCAAAACACTGGATCCTCGACCACTTGTTCAGTTGAACCGCCTTGACAATATTAGCCCCGTTGTCAGTTGTTATAGCAACCAGTCCCGTCGGGTTGAGCTTCCAGGTTTTGAGCACATCCTGCAGGGCTTCAGCTATATGCTCTCCGGTGTGGTCTTGAGGAAAGTAGCTGGTCTGGAGACAGGCAGTTTTCAGTTCCCAGTCTTCCATGAAATGTATAGTCACACTCATATATGGCTCGCATGTCCTGCTGGACCACATGTCGGTTGTCAGTGCGAAGTGAGACACTTTGGTGAGCTGGGCAGCGAGACTCTGTCTAACATCAGTATACATTTTTGGCAGTGCTTCTCTGGTGAAGTATTTCCGGCTAGGTAACTGGTATCTTCGGTCAAGAGTTTTTAGCAGCTGTATAAAGCCCTCTTGTTCCACAGTTGAGATGGGGACCATGTCTTTAGCAATATGATAGGCCACTGCTTTAGTAATTTCCCCCCACTTCTCACTTTTTGTATCATATGGCACATGAGTGTTGTAAGGTGGTCTGTTTCACGGAAGGTAACCTCGGAAGACTTTGCGGTCTGGGCTACAGCACGCAATTTCACACACTCTTCATACTGCACTTTATGGCGCAGTTGTAAATGGTGGTAAAGATTAGTGGTGCTCGAACCTTTCGTTGCGACGCTTTTTCGACATTCTCTACAGAATACATTATTCTGCTGCTCATCTGACACTTTGAACCCGAACCATCTCCAAATAATTGAGCCATTGGTTTTCTTTTTTCCGACGAGCTCCTCTTCGCTAGCTCCTGTGTCCATCTTGTTGCCAACTGGAGGTTTAGCGATGGGGGAGGGGGTTTGTGTTCAGTGAGGGTGAGAGGCGGGGCAAACAAACCCAGACGAGAGAGAGGCAAAATAGCGGCTCCACAAGTGTAATTATAACGCAACATAGACTATATCGATATAAACGATATTGTCACAGCTTATGTCTTGTATAAAAATATATCGATATTTTTAAAAAAAATCGATATATCGCCCAGCACTAACTGGCAACCTTTGCTAGCTATTTGTTGGTTAGGTCTTTATTTTGGTAATTAACTGGCACATAGGCTGGGGATTGTAATGTATTTTCTTACATAGACATCGCTTTTTGGACGTAATTTTTATTCCTCTGAGCGTCGAAAGCTAACTAAGGTTCATATATATAGCGAAGTGACCCTTAGCTCTCAATCTTTGCTTGGAGAAATAAAAATGACTTCAAAAATGCAACAACGTCTTTGTATTAAAAAAAACACAATAAAATCCATTGTCTATATAAGTACAATTACTGGTAAAAGCCAGTTTGTCTTTTAGTAGCGGGTTTTAATTGTTCATCACTAGCTATATTAGCTAACTAAAGTAAGAGCCCACTAGCTCTTATCTTACAAATTTATTCATTCACTTACGAGTTGTAACATACCTTATCAACTTCAGCCACTTCCTCTTCTCTCTCTTTTCACAAGGAAACCGGTAAAATGACAGATTAGACTGTTGTTTTGAGCCAGATTGGTTAAAACAACCAGGAACACAGCATTGTGTCATATTGAACACAGGAGCGTTTAGACCCGGAAGTAGGATTCGTCGGATTCGTCGCGTCATCACTGAACAACCGGATAGGCTGCCCAAGTGCTTTGGATGACGAAGAGTCGGAGGACTGGGCTCCGACGGTCAATCTCGGCTACGAACGAAACCCAGATCGGAATCAGTTCTCAAACGAGAGAAAAGAATGAAGCTTAAGGCAGAACAGCATCGATGTGCAGAGGCGATTTTGGATATGCAACAGACGGCTGAGAGCCCGAGACACCCTTCAGAGGTGTCTCGTTAGACCGCTGAGAATGGTTTACCTTGAAACAAACAACTGTCACTCTAACGAAGTCCTAAGGATGTGGCATGTTTGTTGACGTTAAAGCCGCTACCGCTAACTGTTAGCGTGTTTAAGATAAAGCAATATAAGAACAAACACTCACCCTTGCAAACACCAAACTGTATCCATCACGGAGACGTTTTGTTCCAAGGTTGTGGACCCACCCGCTGACAAAAAAATTGTACGCCTCCAGACTCTTGAAAGCTTTCATTTGCTGCCTAGTGTAGTAAGAAGTCTGGAGGACCAAGTAGTTGGTGATATCCACAGCCTCGATAGTAGGCAAATCCTTTACTTCTGTGGTGTATTCGGACATTTTCAAAGAATACGGATCACGTCCGATATATTTTTTTAACTGTCTGTTTATATCTCTCCCGAGAAACAGGGTCTAAAGTTGCACAATAGCTGCTCTCCTGACTCTCCACAGTGTCCTCCATGTTTACTTCCGCCCTCCACTCAAAAATCGCGCTGCCTCCGCACGTCATCAGAACCACGTGACCGCAACCCAACTATTGGGATACAGCCTAAAGCTGTTCCAATTCTCAGCACCGGTCCTCTCTTTCCCTGAGTCCTTAGCAAATCTCCTTCCCACGATGACGTTTCCATCGAGGGCAAGAAAAAGAGTTAAGGAAAAGGAGATAGGCGCTACTTTTGAAATAACACCCCACATGGCTACGTTGGTCTGCTTAGTCACGTGACCGCACAGCAACAAATCACAGCAGAGCCGGAAAAGGAGGCGGAGCAAAGTGTGTGTGCAGGAGAGGAGTCGAGCAGAGAGAGCTGCTTTTTCATGAAACGGGAGTAAAGTAGTAAATTTACAGGAACATATACCACTGCCAACGTTGGGATTAATTTCTGCATCGATCTGCACACCCTTGTGTCCTGGATCGTAGCCGAGATCAGCGTGAACCACGTGGGTCTCTGCTCCCTGATCTGTTTCTTAAGACTTCCAGCTTCATCACGGAGTTTCTCTCGGTTTGTGGGCTCATATAAAGGTAAGCACCGAGCCAACTTTAATGTGGGTTCAGTTTATGTTGTTGCTGTTAAGAATAATAGATTGCTTGGTATACACTGGAGTTAGACAGTCTGTAGAGCAGAGGCGGAGCCGGACATTTGAAACACCCGGGGCTTAGCCCTAAAGGGTAGTATGCATGTGGGATTTTTTTAATTTATTTATTTATTTATTTATTTATTTATTTTTTTTTGGGGGGGGGGGGGGGTAGAAATGACTGAAAGATTAATAGGCTCTGTTTTGAGTTTTGTTCAGAAAAGAATGACTTCATATAGCGAAAAATATATATCTCATATGCAGAACACCTTAAACTAGTTTTTTAATTGAGCAGCAAGGCAGAACAAAGTCGGAGTTGTATCAAGACACGAGGACTAAACCCCAATTCAACCAGACCCAGAACTGATCCGGAATTAAAACTGGACTACAACAGTTCAAAATCAGGACTATATAGGATTTAACCAAGACAGAACAAGAATCAGAACTAGATGATAGTAGCACTAAAAAATCATCATAGACCTGCACTACACTTGTTTTTTTAATTCTACCAAAGTCCACTATTTAGATTGAGAAAAGTTTATATAATTATTTAGCCTTGTTGTGCAAACAAGCCTGCATAACTTAATAAATGTAGAATTTGAAAAATAGCAAACCTAAAAAGAAACACTAGGTACGAGATACATGAGTACCTATGATACGGTGATACTTTTGGTAAACAACCATTTGACTAACATGTGTGTCTCACCTGCTCTTGTTCATCTCTGTTCTGTCCTCATTCTCCTCTCTGTTCCTCTCTCTCTCTCTTTGTGCTGACAATCATCAAATATACAGTTGAAACCAGATATTTACAAACTCTTCAGATCAAAACAAACACTTTTTTAATTGTAACATCAAATCAGACTAAATGTTTATTTTTTTAGATTGATAAATAAAAAAACATATTTGTTAACTTTAAGAGGAAAGAGAGAAATTGTCTGTATTTCTTAATTGCAAATGGCACCAAATTGTATTCAAAATTGAGCCACACTTATGGAGCTCCACAGTTCTTTTTCTGGTTTGGTTGACATCTGTTGATTTTCCCCATTTCCACCAATTTACTCACATAGACTCTACTAACCTATCAGAAGCTTCTTCAGCTCAGAATGGAATCGTCTGGAGTTTTCTTATTAATTAACAATAAACTTAGTGTATATGTACTCCTAAATTTGATCAAAGTGATAAAAAATAGACAGCTGTCTCTCTTTATTCTGACATTTAACTAATTCAAAATATATTTCAATATTTATCTAAAACAAAAGTTTAATCTAAATTGATGTTGTACAGTAAAAATGTTTTATGTTTTCTCCCTAAAGTGTATGTAAATATCTGGTTACAAATGTGAATATCCTGCTGTGTACTGAAATCCCTCTTGTTTTGCATAGAAATATACTGAACAACATACAAAACATAACATATAAAATAACAAATAACACAGAGGGAGCAATCAGGGAATGGGTAACAGGAGGGAAACACAGCTGGGACAAATCAGAACTGACGAGACCAAACAAGGAGCCAGAAACAACAAAACAAAACAAAAAAGTGCAAACAGAACAAAACACAGAAACAAAGTCCAAAACAACAGTATAAATAATATCATAAACTCCAAAAACCCTGGGTCGACGACCCAGGCATCCTAACAAGTAAAGCTGTGGGTTGTGGGAATGAACCATAATGTTTTATCTAGGGGTGCCTGTAGTGCACTGCCATGTAAATAATTTGCATTTACTGAATATATACTGACTGAGTCCCACTGTTCAAAAGTTGAATAAAGAAACAAACTAATTTTTGCCTCTTTTTTTTAATTTTATTGAAACCACCTTATAGAACATCACATCAGTTACAATGTAGAATCCATGTCATTTATCAGAATCAGAATCAGAATACTTTATTCATCCCGAGGGAAATTAGGGGTTATAGCAGGCAGCACGCTAATGGCGCATGCGCACTCACAAAGGAACCTTCTGACCAACTTTACACAAGCATCACATTGGGCAGACATGTCAGAAGGTAGGCTGAAAGGAAAAAACAACGAAAATACACTACATGAGGTAAGAGGAGGAGAAAAAAAACTCCACTCAGACTGAGCTCCTAGTGGGAGAACAGTTTGATAACAGAAAAAACACCTCAGCACAAAAGCACATGACTATCAATACACCATAGAAACACGAGACAAGCAACAGGGGCGGGTAAAGGGTAAGAGAGAGCCGGTGTAGACAGCGCATCCGGTCCTGCAGCATCTGTGCTGGTCCAGTTGACTGCTATCTTCCCCGGTAGGGCACAAGCATCGAAGGCGTTGGAAAGGGAGGGGGGATGAGTGAGTGCTTATCAGTGTAAGTGTGTGTGTGTGCGTGTCCATAGTTTAGCTGAGACAGTGTCCTTCGGCCTATCAGGCTAAGTAAATAGTCTTCCAGCCAATCCAGGTGTCCTTGCATGGGATGGGAAGAATAGCCGTAACACAGTCGTTATCAGGGAGTGATTGTTCGGCTCCAGCCTCTGGCCTGCAGCTGGTGCCGTTATGGGGGTCCGCAATCTCAATGTTGATTTTGTAAATTTCCATGCGAGCAGCCCAGGAGAATTTTTGGCTGCCCTAACACTCCGACACTGGCCTCTCGATCTCCCGTTGGAGAGCCACGATCCTCCCCATGATGATATCAAACTTCTGTTCCATGGTGTTGCCATTCTTTTGATTCTGAGACCTCACAGCTGCAGTGATCTGTTCCGTGATGTCGTCCAACTGTCGCTCAAGGGTCTCATTTTGAGCAGGCCTCTCTCTGATGTTTCCCCCCATACGCTCAATGTTGTTGCTTTGAGCCTTCACAGCAGCAGCTGTAAGCATCTCCAAGGTGTTGACCATATTACGTTCGTTGTGAGAGGTCGCGCCTCATCTCATCTCTTCAATTCCAGCGGGCAGCCTTAGGGGGGTTTGAACAGCCGGTTCCGCTCTCTTATTTCTCCGATAAACCAGGGCCAAGCCAACTCCGATCAGCACGAACCCTGTTATCATGGTTCCGAATAGATAGATATCTTCAGCGTCCTCGATCGACAGTCCCGCCAGACACATGACTCTCCAGTTCTGCCACCCGTCCATCGTGTATCCGGCAGGGAAAGTCCCTCCAGGGCACTCGGGCTCTCCCGAGCCCAGACTTCTCGTTGAGAAAAGGGTGTCAATAGCATTCAGAGACCAGTTAATCAAATCCATAATTCTCTTTTAGGTTTTAGAGAATGACCGTGTGAGTCTATTCCAGGGAAAGTAATGCACACGAAACAGACAAGGACATAGAGGCTAAGCAGGGAAGATAAGGGTGAGGAGGAGAGGAGAAAAGTGCGACCGCCTTCGCTGAGAGCCAAAGAAGAAAAATGATTTTATAGTTTACAAATGACAAAATGTTTACACAAAATCACGAGTGTTTACATGATATCACTCACTACTAACATTACTTTATTTACTGTATCTTTTGAAAAAATACAGCAATTTTAACAGCACAAGACTTAAGAGTATTTAACAGGAGCAGGTTTCATTTTTCCCTGGTTTTATTATCACACTGTTCACCAAAACGCAGCAAACCTTCACCATCTTATCCAGAAGGGTCACCTCTTCACCCTCACAAGGAAGAAGTAATCTGATTGGCATGGTGGTATGTTTGAAGCAGGTCCCTTGTGTAGCACTGGAACCCAGTCACGATGTGATTCATCCATTTAATAGGCTGGTTTGCTGCAATAATGCCAAATAATTAGCAACTCTATAAATAGAAGGTAGTTCTGCAAAATCACTCAGTAGAATGTTTGTTGTCATTTGCTATGAGCTCAGAGCGCATAGAAAATAAAACTAATAGGCTATAAAGATTGATATGAACATATTTAGAACTTACCGGAATGAAAATGTCTGGAGCACCAACAGATATTTGGAGATGGAACAGAACTGCACGTCAGCTCGTCTCACAGCTGCTCTCCAGGCTAGACGCCTTTGTTTGGTAACATCGATACACGAGCTGCCTCGTGTTGCTTCCAGGTTGGGAAAGAATGAAAAGATAAACCATTTTCAAGCTTATTTTCTTGCTGGTCGTGCGATCGAACATTGCAGCCGACCACACAGCAAATACGAACCATGGCTGTTGTCTGTGCCTTCGCTCCCTTTTCACTTTTGCGCTAGACCCCCAAAATGGCGGATCGGGCCAAAATCCTTTCCACGCCCACCCCCGTGACATCACGCTCCAAAGCCCTATTCCATTACAGAATACAGAATACATGCCCCAAAATGTATTCTGTAACGTATTCCGTTACGTTACTCAATGACATTAACGTATTCTGAATACTTTGGATTACTTAATATATTATCATGCTTTTTACAACAACGTGAATGTACTATTGCTGGGTGATTCATTACTATTACTGAAGGTCCGCGACTCCGAACTGTAGTAAAGGGACCTCTGACTAATACGGCGGGGTCCCTGTCGGCTCGTAGCCGAAAAATAGCTTTACTTTGTTGTGTGGGTCAACTTTTCTTGCGAGAGACAGAGAGAGGCGTTGAAAGACTGCTCCAACAGAACTTATTGTTTTTGGAGGAAAACACGAACAAGGTGTACAGTCGAGTCTTAATAGCTTACTTACAACTGGGCTCGTCAGGCACTCTTCTTGGCTGAAGTGGTTATTATTATATTTACATGCTTCCAGCTCCCATTTTTCCTCGATGACAGCTCGTACTTTTCCACTCCCCCTTTTCTCCCTCCTCGCGCTCACAGACCCATAATGTGTATGGCAGTCCATTCTCCCTGCAACACGGACTACACTGCCCATGATGCTACATTCTTTAGAGCTATGCTTGTAGCATTCTGCCTGTTAGCTTAGCACAACAACAACAACAACGAAAAGGCGCTCTCTCACCCAGGAAACACACAGTCGCAGAGAGCAAGAGAGCGTCGCCCTGTAACCATGGCAACCGTAACGCTGCCGCCTGGAACAACAGAACGTAGCTGTCAAACAAAACCCAAACAGTCCTGACCCGCGACAAAATGAAACAGGAAAGTACCGCAGTGTAATCCATTTATTTCAACAAAGTAACTGTATTCTGAATACCACCTTTATAAACGGTAACTGTAACGGAATACAGTTACTCATATTTTGTATTTTAAATACGTAACGGCGGTACATGTATTCCGTTACTCCCCAACACTAAAGGAAGAGGAGCTCGTGAACTGGAACCACCACAGCAAAAGAGAGTGAAGCCATATGTGCAGAAGAATGCAGTGACATATGATGTTCCTTCTTCCTGATATTGCTGTCATTCGGAACCGCTACGTTGATCACTACGGCCGTCTTCTTCTGTTTGTCTACCACCACTATGTCCGGTTGGTTAGCCACCACCATTTTGTCCGTCTGTATCTGGAAGTCCCACAGGATCTTAGCTCGGTCATTCTCCACCACCCTTGGGGGTATCTCCCATTTTGACCTCGGGACTTCCAGGTTATACTCGGCACAGATGTTCCTGTACACTATGCCGGCCACCTGGTTATGGCGTTCCATGTATGCCTTGCCTGCTAGCATCTTGCACCCTGCTGTTATGTGCTGGATTGTCTCTGGGGCATCTTTACACAGCCTGCACCTGGGGTCTTGCCTGGTGTGATAGACCCCAGCCTCTATGGATCTGCATATATATATATATATATGCTCCCAGGCCTCTGGTAGAGGACCCAAGCTTGAAGGATAAACCGCCCGCAGGGGCGTGCTGGGTGTTATTATTTATATATGTATATATATATATAGACATATATATGTATATGTATATGTATATAGACATGTATATATGTATATGTACATGACAGCATTGCTGTCCAGCATTGTGTTTATCAAAACTCTTTTTACAAATCCTGCTGTGTGTGTGTCCCCCAGGTGATTAACAGGAGGAGAAGAGTCTGGTGGTGCAACGGAGGAACAATTTCATCCATTTGGACTCAGCTCAGCCACTACAGAGGAAACAATCAATGACTTCAACACAAAAGGTGAGAAAAATATCACAGTTACAATTAGGGATGCACCGATACCGTTGCTGGTATCGGGTATTGGGGCCGATACTGTAAAATGTGTGTGTACTCATATTCGTAAAAGTTAAGCGATACCATGAACCGATAATAATGTAGCCCGGATGGGAATTTGGGAGTAGATACTCATAATTCCCATGGACTTAAACGCCACGGTAACATAAGGTGTTCACAGTTGATGTTTTGTGATGTAACTGTACCCAGAATGTACTTTGCCCTGTAATATGCCACAAGGTAAATACAGGTAATTAGAGCAATCAAACTGTTATGTTAATCATAAAGTATTATTTTATGGTATGTAACTCTGAATGGAGTTTAAATATTGTTCAGAGTTCTAATTTCTTGTAACAGAAGTTACAAGAAAATACAAAGATCATATTTTATAAGCACACATTGAAACAACAATATCATCAGTTGAACTTGAAATTTCTTATGCGTAAAAGATTTTCTCTGCTGATCAATATTTCTTCAATAATGTCATTTTCATTACAACTCTCATTGTAGCACATCATTGTAATGTGATACTGCCACCAGAAGGTGGTGGAAACACACCAACAATGTGTTTGTTGACATGTTTGATTCCACCAATGAAGGGAGTTTCAGTTTGTTCCACGACTGCATTTCACTCACTGCCTCTGTTTGTATCTCTGTCACTGCAGGACCAACATGGAGCGAGAAGTCAGCGCTCTCAGGAGGCCGACAAACCTCACAGAAGAAAGGGAGAGAAAACCTACAGCTGTGATGAGTGTGGAAAGTCTTTTACCCGGGCTGGACACTTAAAAACACACCAAATCATCCACAGTGGAGTTAAACCTCACAGCTGTGAGTTGTGTGGAAAGTCTTTTACCCGGGCTGGACACTTAAAAAGACACCAACTCATCCACAGTGGAGTTAAACCTCACAGCTGTGACTTGTGTGGAAAGTCTTTTACCCAGGCTGGATATTTAAAAACACACCAACTCATCCACACTGGAGTTAAACCTTACAGCTGTGACTTGTGTGGAAAGTCTTTTACCCAGGCTGGACACTTAAAAAAACACCAACTCATCCACAGTGGAGTTAAACCTCACAGCTGTGACTTGTGTGGAAAGTCTTTTATCCTGGCTGCAAGCCTAAAAACACACCAACTCATCCACAGTGGAGTTAAACCTTACAGCTGTGACTTGTGTGGAAAGTCTTTTATCCTGGCTGGAAGCCTAAAAACACACCAACTCATCCACAGTGGATTTAAACCTTACAGCTGTGACTTGTGTGGAAAGTCTTTTACCCTGGCTGGAAGCCTAAAAACACACCAACTCATCCACAGTGGAGTTAAACCTTACAGCTGTGAGTTGTGTGGAAAGTCTTTTACCCTGGCTGGACACCTAAAAACACACCAACTCATCCACAGTGGAGTTAAACCTTACAGCTGTGAGTTGTGTGGAAAGTCTTTTGCCTGGGCTGGAGACTTAAAAAGACATCAACTCATCCACAGTGGATTTAAACCTTACAGCTGTGACTTGTGTGGAAAGTCTTTTACCCTGGCTGGAAGCCTAAAAACACACCAACTCATCCACAGTGGAGTTAAACCTTACAGCTGCGACTTGTGTGGAAAGTCTTTTACCGAAGCTGGAAGCTTGAAAAAACACCAACTCATCCACAGTGGAGTTAAACCTTACAGCTGTGACTTGTGTGGAAAGTCTTTTACCGAGGCTGGAGACTTGAAAAACACCAACTCATCCACAGTGGAGTTAAACCTTACAGCTGTGACTTCTGTGGAAAGTCTTTTACCCTGGCTGGGAACTTGAAAAAACACCAACTCATCCACAGTGGAGTTAAACCTTACAGGTGTGACTTGTGTGGAAAGTCTTTTACCCAGGCTGGACACTTGAAAAAACACCAACTCATCCACAGTGGAGTTAAACCTTACAGCTGTGACTTGTGTGGAAAGTCTTTTACCTGGGCTGGAAGCTTGAAAAAACACCAACTCATCCACAGTGGATTTAAACCTTACAGCTGTGACTTGTGTGGAAAGTCTTTTACCCAGGCTGGACACTTGAAAAAACACCAACTCATCCACAGTGGATTTAAACCTTACAGTTGTGACTTGTGTGGAAAGTCTTTTACCGAGGCTGGACACTTGAAAAAACACCAACTCATCCACAGTGGAGTTAAACCTTACAGCTGTGACTTGTGTGGAAAGTCTTTTACCCAGGCTGTACACTTGAAAAAACACCAACTCATCCACAGTGGAGTTAAACCTTACAGCTGTGACTTGTGTGGAAAGTCTTTTACCCAGGCTGGACACTTGAAAAAACACCAACTCATCCACAGTGGATTTAAACCTTACAGCTGTGACTTGTGTGGAAAGTCTTTTACCCAGGCTGGAACCTTAAAAAAACACCAACTCATCCACAGTGGACTTAAAGCACACAACTGTGAGTTGTGTGGTAAGGCTTTTGCTCTAAATAGCGACTTACACAGGCATCTAGTTACCCACTCTGGAATTAAGGCGTAGAGCTGCGACTTTTGTGGAAAAAGTTTCAGTGACAAACGGTACCGAAATATTCACCTACGGATTCAGACTGGAATTGATGTTTCCTGCTGTGATCAGTGTGGGAAACTGTTTACAACAGATGCACAGTTACAACAACACACTGAGGAGAGACCTTATAAATGTTACCTGTGTGAGAAGACTTTTAAAGCTCCAAATCAGCTGAAAAAACACCAACAGATCCACTCCAGAAAGTAACTCTAGAAGTGCAGTTACTGTGAGGATGTATTGATTTTTTTATCTTGTAATTTTAACCTGATTGTTTGGAAAAAGTCTGATCAGTAAACTTATGGAGTTATACTGAATGAACTGTTTGGAAAAATGAAGAAGTAACCTGAGTTTTATAGTGTAAACAGTAAAATGTAATTGGACGTTGGCAGAGATGTTTTTATTTCAGGCGACGTTCAGGATAAAAACGTTGAAGGAATTCTCTGATTTACAATGTCTTTGTTTAGGAGTGGAGCGAAGCACACTGATCCATTTCTCAACCCTGTCGTCACTGTGGTGGTGGGAAAGCGTTTCTCTTTAACCTTTGTGGAAAAACCTCCAATCACGAACGGGACCTAAAACCACATCAACGTAGACACACTGGAGACAAAATGAACTACTGCAACGAATGTGGGAGAGGCTTCCACACACCAAGTACATTAAAAAAATGTCTGTGAAGGTTCTCAGTCATCCAGGTCATCGTAGTCAAAGGAGCTTGCAAAGAAAAGTGTCTGGACTTCTTTAAGTTGCTTGAAGACGTTTCACCTCTTATCCGAGAAGCTTCTTCAGTTCTAAGGTCAAATGGTGGAGAGTCCCAGATAAAAACCTAGTGGGAGTAACCCCCCACAGAGGGACAAAAGGACCCCCTGATGATCCTCTAATCGCCTGAGCCAAGGTGTGAAATTGGGTGTGGGACCCAATCAGCCAGAGTTTCGGGTGTGTTCATTGTGAAACCTGGCCCCACCTTGTCATGCGAATTCCTGAGGTCAGATGGCCCAGGATGTGAGTGGGCGTTAAGGCGTCTGGGAAGGGATCTCAAAACTGGATTATAGATGGCAGAGAGTTGGTGTCGTAAACCCCCGACTCTATTCAAAGATGGTCGCTCACAGTGGACATAGATGGCTTCTTTCACTCCTCTTTCAAACCATCTGTCCTCTCTGTCCAAAATGTGAACATTGGCATCCTCGAAAGAGTGTCCTTTATCCTTAAGATGCAGATGGACTGCTGAGTCTTGTCCTGTGTAGCAGGACAAGACTAACAAGACCACAAGACTAACAATGAACACACCCGAAACTCTGGCTGATTGGGTCCCACACCCAATTTCACACCTTGGCTCAGGTGATTAGAGGATCATCAGGGGGTCCGTTTGTCCCTCTGTGGGGGTCACTCCCACTAGGTTTTTATCTGGGACTCTCCACCATTTGACCTTAGAACTGAAGAAGCTTCTCGGATGAGAGGTGAAACGTCTTCAAGCAACTTAAAGAAGTCCTGACGCTTTTCTTTGCAAGCTCCTTTGACTACATTAAAAATACATGACCTCTTCAAAAAGCACATCTGTGACCAGTGTGGGTAATCCTTCACCACTGCAGGAGGGACACCATACAAGTGCAGACACTGTGACAAAAGCTTCTCACAATCAGGTCATCGTAACAAACATGAACGTACACACATGGAAGTGAACTTCAGCTGTGACCAGTGTGACAAGAGCTTCAGGAATCTCAGTTCATACTCCGAACACAAACGATCCCACGCTGTAAATAAACTGTTTCACTGTTACCAATGTGCAAAAACCTTCACTTCATTATCTGCTCTGTGCAAACATCAGCCTGATCATGCAGGACTGAAATCACTGGATCACAATGAATCTGAAGAGAGAGAAAGATCCTCTTCTGGTTTCAGGGTCAGACTTAAAAACCTTGAGATCAGGCTGCACAGAGTTCAGATGGAATCTCCTGTAAAGAGTGTCAGCTGATGCCACACTTGGATCTGATGAGGTAGCTCTGATTTCTGGAGCTGCAGTGAATAATTCTGAATGTTACATTTAGGAAGCTGCATGTATAGATATGCATAGATATGCATATCAAGTTTTTTTTTCCTTTGGGGGATTTTAATTCTCTAAAATTATCTCTGTTACATTTTAATCTTTGTTCCCTTAGGACACAGTAGTGTTTAGTAGTTGTACTTGTTACTGTATTATTAAAGTTATAGGAATGTCTTTTTTACCAAACCAATAATGTATCAGAATTGCAGATATGGATATATATTTCAATTTCTTTATTTGAACTTTCTTAGTGTTTCCAAAATTAACTTAATGTGGGGTAATGTATTCATTTAATGTGTTACCTCTGTTAAATTTCAATCCTTCATTCATATTTAACCTTTTGCTGTTGTAAATCTTCTCTTAAATCCTTTTCTCCCAAAACTACAAATATTTTCACAGCAGTTGCTCTTAAAACCTCAAAAATGAACTAAATCTGTCCACCAGCTTTGAAAAAACACCTGCTGTGACTTTATGTCCAGAAAAAAAGAAACTCAAGCTGAACTGGTTTTGGGCTGTACTTCCATGTAATGCCAGTTTGTACCAGAAGATGGAGCAGTGAGTCAGTGTAACCTTTATTCAATTAGGCAAAGAGCACAATCTTATTCACAGTGGCAGCAAAGAAATGTTGAAAGTTAAAAACAGCAGCACACATCAGAACCATTTTAAAGATCACAGGTGACTACTTTTACGTAATTCAAATTCTGTTAAACCTCTAATTTTTTGCTCCTCCTTTCACTTTAGTGTATTTAGTCCTTGAAGTCCACATGTTGTTTTTTAATGAATTTTGATCCACATGTTCTGCAGCTGTTTTCTTGTTGATTTGAAGTTTGTATTATGAAATCCTGATAATGTTAAAGTGTTAGTTATATTTGATGAAGTCTGTGTAGAGTTTATCTTATTATCTTATTAAACAGTTTGGTGTGAAAAATAAAGAAATGGTCTCAGAACAAGTAGTTTGACCCATTATTTCTGATTCAAACTAATTTAACTGTTTTCAGTGGTACATGTGGAGGTTTATCACAGGAGGCGACTTGGCTGTTCTCCACTCACACTGAAGAAGGATCCTGCAGCTCATTAAAAACTCTAAAATGATCTTGAAAGAACATATGTTTGATTTTTCTTAAAAACATGCTGTTGG